AACACAGACGGTGAGTGCCATGATTGTTGAAGCTTGCTGCCTTGAAAGAGTTTCCAGATGCAGTGCAGAGAGGGGGAACTGAGGCAGAACTTGGCAGACTCTCTGAGTGGAGGTGATGGAGCTGAAAGTCCAGGGAGACCAATGTGGCTGGAGTGAGCAGGACAGATCACTGCAGAGGAGAGAGTTGTACAAAGAGGTAGTCCCCCAGAGATTTTCAGAGGGTCCTCAAGAGTATTCAGCAGAGTTCCAATCAGTGCATAAGTGTGAGAAAACTACACGAGGCCAAGGAAAGAATCATCTGAAATAATTGGAGGGAATAGTGCTCAGTGCTTACACAGGGCTGGGAAGAGTACCTGTTTCTACCAGCCAGACTGAAAAAAACTTACAATTCTTGGGGCATTGGGTAGAGTACTCAGAATGGTCTTGCATTAGTAGTGTGGAATAATTAACCCCAGACTGAGCATTGCTCTGAACCTTCCTACACAATCATAAAAGAAAGACTTAAAAGTTGCAAATTGTTTCCAAGTAACTTAACGGAAAATAATACAGCTTGAGAAGGTTTATAGGAATACAAAAATATCTGGCATCTAAAAGGTTAAACACACAATGTCTAGCATCCAATCACAACTTTCTAGGCATGCAAAGAAGCAGGAAAAAGTTAAGCATGATAAAAAAAAACAACAACAACAACTGAGACTGACTCAGAATTGATGCAGAGGTTAGATCATGCTTTTAGGTCTCACAGATTTTGCCCTTTGTTTTCTTCTAGAAGTGTTATGGTTTTAGGTTTTACATGTAGGACTATGATGTATTTTGTTTGTATGTATTGTTTCTAGGCATAGAACGAAGTTCATTTTTTTGCATATGGATATCCAATTGTTCCAGCACCATTTGCTGAAAATCCTTTCTTCAGTGAATTGCCCTTGTATTTTTGCCAAAATCAGTTGTCCATATATATGTGGGTCTATTCCATTCCATTGATCTGCTTGTCTATCTTTATGCCAATACTACACTGTCTTGATTACTACAGCTTTATAGAAAATCTTGAAATCAGGTAGTGTTAGTCCTCCAAATTTGTTCTTCTTTTTCAAAGTGGATTCGGCTATTCTTGGTCTTTTGAATTTCCCTATGAGTTTAGAACCAGCTGGATAATTTTTAGAAAGAACCCTATTAGGATTTTGATAGGGATCGTGTCGAACCTATAGATCAATTTGTGGAAGACTGATGTCTCAACAATATTGAGTCTTCCAAACTATGAACAAGATTTATCTCTCCATTTATTTAATTTTTCTTTTGTTCCTCTCAAGAATGTTTTGTAGTTTTCAGTGTACATGTTTTACACATCTTTTCTCAAATTTATTCCTGAATATTTCATATTTTTGATGCTACTATAAATAGTATTGATTTTTAATTTAAATTTTTGATTATTGCTGGTATATATAGTAGTTGATTTTTTTGTATATTGATCTCTGCTTAACTCAACTAATAGTTCTAGTAACTATTTTGTATATTCCATTGGATTTTTGATCATGTGTCTGTACATAAAGCCAGTTTACTTCTTCCTTTCCAATCTGGGTGCCTTTTATTTGTTTTTCCTTTTTTGTTGCACTGGTTTGAGTCTCTAGTACAATATTAAACAGAAGTAGTGAGAGTGGACATCTCTATTTTGCTCCTTGGCTTAAGTGGAAAGTATTCAGTTTGACCATTAACTATGATGTTAGCTTTAGATTTTTAGTAGATGCCCTTTATCAGGTTGAGAAATTTCCTTTCTATTCCTAGTTTGCCGCAGGGTTTTAATCAGTACTGGATGTTGGATTTTTTTAAAATCCTTTTTCTACATCTGTTGAGATGGTCCTTTTCTTTCTTTCTTTTTTTGTAGTTCAATAATGTTGTGGATTGCATTGATTCATTTTCAAATGTTTCGAAACAAAATTATATTGTAGCTTACTTCTGTGACATAACCTAGCTTGCTCTGGCTATGTGTGAATTATTAAATAGCAACAATATTCTGTTCTATTATGACTCACATGACTGCGTTATAGACCTTGAGCATCTGGGTAGCACCTGGGTCTGAGCAATGTCTTCAGAGGCAGTTGAATAGAATAGGAGTAAATTTGCCCAAGTAGGAAAGGCTCTCTCTCATGGTTGTGTGATTCCAGTTTGTGTCCTAGGATATTATTCACTGGGATGATTTCTTCAGAGCCTCCTCGAAGGAGGAAGGTAGTCTTTCCTGTTACTCAGCTGACTGTTATAGTGGTTCTTCTTACTCTTTTTTTACTTAGCAGCCATGGTCAGCCTGTGAGACTCATCCTCTTCTTTGGCACGTATTCAGCGTTCACTTACTCACTGGGTCTATTCACCCTGCTAGCTGTTAGCCTTTTCTTGGTCTGCTCTATATATTAATGCCACTCACCAGAACTTTCATTTTCCAAAAGTCCACTTCCACCTTGAAGTCTTTTCTAAGCAAGGATTCTCCCTACATTTTTCATGCACCCTTCAGAGATTGTAAAGATACTCCAAGGTTCTGCCATGACACTGAGTGTGATGGCATAAAATTCAGATGTACAAAAAGTGATTGTGGAAGACAGCCAATGGTTACCATTGTGGGGATGTACTGAAAACTCCCCTCTGCGAAGCCTTGGACACATCACTTCATCCAACTGAGCCTGACTTCTCTGATCCTTAACTCTTTGGTGAATGGGGTATCTTGCAGTTGGGGTGAACTTTGAGCTTTCAGACGTCTCCCAACTTTAAACTGCTCTGTTCTAAGAGAGAACTGCATAGGTGAACCCCAGAGGAGACAAGCTTGTCATTTCAGCCTTCCCCTTATTTAAAAAGGTAATTTGTGGTAATTCTCCAGTGCACAGCATTTAAGTCAATTCATCATAGAAAGACCATTAGGCATAAAGTGATAAATATACTGTGTCAATCTTGAAAATTGATTTAGCACTTTTCACTATAAAAACTTCAGATTTCTTAGGTAAGCAAGTAGATGCTTTTGCTAAATTGTTTTATATCATCAGATATCAATCTGCATGATGGTAGCCACATCATTTAGTTAAATGTGAAAAAGAAGGTAGACCAGGCACACCTCACAGGGATTTCTAAGTTCTAAATTAGTGTGTGTCGGCCTCCCCCATAAGTCTTTGGATTCTTAGAGAACAGAGACTGTTTATTCTTATATTGAATTAGAGGGGTCTATATTGCATAACCTCTCAGAACTATAAATGCATATTTGTTCTCTCCAGCTGGACCTTCCAACGGCCCCGCCAGCCTGCCAAGGCCATCCTAGCCCCTGCGTCAATCGTGGCAGCATAGTGAAGGCGAAAAAATCAGCAGGCTCAGTGTCCCCTGATTAGAGGAAAAGGTGGTAAGTCCTATTAGAAAGCAGACCCATTATCTGAGGCCACAGAGTCAGAACACTTCCCTGCTCTCCCATTGTCTTCGAATGACAGATAGATGGCAGAAGTGCCGTCTTCCCCTAATCCTTTGCTTCATTAGAGAGACATCATTAATTGAAGATTAAATCCTTTCTCCCTGAAGATTGGCCTCAAATCCTTCTTACACGGTGTGTCAGGTATCCAGCTCCACTGTTACATTTTGGGAACTGGACACAGCACAACCTCAGTTCACCTTCCTTGGTCTTGTCCATGGTGCTGAGATTCTGCATGGCACCCATTCCTTCCGTCTGCCGCAGTGGTTCTCCACTGTGGATGACGTGGTCCCCCCAGGAACATTTGGCAATGTACAGAGACAATTTTTGTTTTCCACAACAGGGTGTGGGTGCAACTGGCATCTAGGGGCTGGAAGCCAGGGATGTTGCTCAACATCCTACAATGCACAAGACAGCCTCCACGACAAAGAGTAATCTTGTCCAAATGTCAATAGCACCCAGGTGGAGAAACCCTGGTCTTTCTGACAAGGAAACCTGAGATTCTCTCTCCTCTAGGATTGGGCTCTGTCCCCAAACTATCTACACAACTGGGATTTTGATACCTAAATCTTCCTAGCCTTTCCTCAGGAAATCTGATTATCCTGCTGATGCTCACCAGCTGGAAGCTGACTTCATGTTTTTATTGGTTTTCTGGAAGCCCCTTCCTTCATTCCCTCAGGTATCCATGTTGCCCCAACCATGCATGAGTGTGGCAGGCTGTGTTTAGGTTGCACAGTTTGTCATGTCAGAATCATTCCCAGCAGACTTGCCTTTAGCTCATCGTCCATCCCAGCCCTGCTCCCACATCCTCTGTTCCAAGAAGGTCTTCGACCTTAGCTTCCTTCACTGGGATGCACCTTTGGCCAGGAGCCAACATGTAACCAGGCCAGTTTCAGAAGTCCTCTCAAATGCTGCCTGCCATCAACTGACTAAATAAACCTTTGCTGCAGAACCAACCATGCATGCAGGTGTCAGCTAATATTTTTGCTGATATCTCCCAGCCAATCCTAAGAGAACTTTGTCACACTTCATTTGCAAAGCAGGAAAATTATGTATATCTTCTGAAGGAGGAAGATATATAGCTCACTTTTTGTCCAAGGTGAAATCCATAAACATATTATTGAGCAAAGACACCTCAACAGAGACAAGAAGACTCAAAATACTGGCAAAGTAACTACACAATTATAACAAAAATCTGGCTTGGTTGCCCCCTCATCAAATTACTTAGAGTAATCACAAGATCCTACAGACATGTGAGCCCTATAGACTGGAATGAGAGGCTTCAACCTATCCAGGAGGCAAGACAATCAAGTCAGAACAAGGGATGCTGGAGTAGCTGGTCTATGCAGAGATGCAAGAAGAAAGTTCTGATTCAAGACAGGAAGAATGGTACTAGAGAAATAAGCTTTACTGGAGAAAGATGGCAACAAGGTAGTTAATGGTGCTTAGTTCTACGATCACAGGACCTAAGCGGCACTTAGCTGCTGCCAGCCACCTAATGCAATTGGTAAGAAAGGACACTGAAATGTACAGACCTCCCACGACTGGGAAGATTCCACAAGCATCTGCATTAGCTTGCTAGGGATGCCATAACAAGAACTACAGACTCTGGGTGGCTTAAACAACAGACATTTATTTCTCACAGTTCTGGAGGCTGGAAATCGGAGATCAAGGTGTTGGCAGGGTTGGTTTCTCCCGAGGCCTCTCTCCTTGGCTTGTAGACACCGTCTTCTCCCTGTGTCCTCACATGGCTGTCCCTCTGTGTGTGGCTGTGTCCTCATCTCCTCTTCTTAAAAGGACAGTGGTCAGATTGGATTAGGGCCACCCTAATGACCTCATTTTCACTTAATAACCTCTTTAAAGACCCTATCTCCAAATACAGTCACATTCTGAGGTCCTGGGGGTGAGGGCTTTAACAGGAACTTTGGGGGGACACAATTCAGCCTAGAATAGTGTTGGGGAAGAGGGAGAATCCCCTTTCACCCTTTCCCTTAAGGTTCTTATGGCTGGCCCAATAATTAAAAGACAGGTTAGCAGGAGAAAATAATACAAAGTTCAATAACATGTTTACATGGGAGAAACCAGGGAAACTGAGTTTCTCGACAAATGGTGAAGGTTTTTCACCTTAAATAGCATATTCAGGTAGACAAAGAAGGATGTTGGGGGTGGGGAGGGAGACAGGAGGGAGACAGAAATCTCAGTAATCAAGAGTATGCAGATTTAAGTCATTTCCCTGCATACTGATAAGAGTTTCCAGAGATAAGGCCATCCCCCCCTCTTCCCAGTACAGAGAGGGAGATACCTTTACAAATGTAAATGGTTGGTAAACAAAACTTTGATAAGAATGCATGAGGACCCTGCCAGTCTGTCCACACCCAGAGTTAAATTCCTTTAGGCAGTTAGTGGGGGAGGTCAAATGTCCATCAGAGAAAATAATCAAGGTAAAGAGACATATTTCAGGGTGGTAATTTTGATATCCCACAATAGCATACGTCCAGTGGTGGCTCCATAGGGTTGTTTGGAGGCAGGGTGACACCTGAAGAATGACAAGTGGAAAGGACACGATAGAAGTAGTGGGGTCCTGCCAGGGTAGTGGGTTCCTCCCAGGCACACCATGGTAGGGTGGGAACTGTATCTATCAATGCCTGTCACTGAGCACGAGGTGATGGGGGTGATGGATGCTCACTTACCAGTGCAGTTTTCAATCTCATGACAGACTTTCATTTAGTATGTCCTAAAGGAAAATATCTCTCCAGACACTTGCACTTGAGGGAATACAGTGGTGGGGAGAAACTCTCTTATTTATTTGCGGAATTTGATGGGGCATTTTACTGGCCACCTTCTGAGGATAACCTTTTCACTGCCATCAAATAAACCAATAGCCTCCATTTAGATTCTTTGTTGGCAATTTAGTCTCATTCAAATTTCCCAGTAATCATTGGCTGGAGGGATGATGGAGACTCAGAACAGGCTTCTGAAAAGCTGTTCTAAGCCAAGCTGAAATGAATATTAAGACCTATTTCTTTGTGTGTGTGTGTGTGTTGGCCCCTCTTCAATTCCCCATCCCCATGCTAAGGAGGATGGAGGATTCAATGCTGAATCAGGTAACGTATTTTTATTGTTGTTGTTGTTTTTTATCTATCATTGTGTCAGATAGCTTAGCAGTCCTCACCAAAACACTGGTTATTTCCATCTTTGTCTCTCATCCTTCTTTACTACTGGAATCTAAATAAATCATCTTTAGGAAATCCCAAGACTTACCAGGAGTTTCAGAGTCATTGCTACCAACACCACCTACCAGATATTTCGTGCAAATGTTTGCCAGCAAGATGACGAGAATGACAACAAAACTAATGACGCCTGCCCCACAGCATCTTAGCAATCCACGTCTCTCGATGTGTATCCCAAAGTAAGTTAACACAAGCTGCTTGATAAAAGGGTTCCATGATGAAATGCAATTGGAAGCGCTGAGCTAAGCAAAATGAAACAGGCTTCTGTGCTGAAGGTTCTCACATCCTGCACGATGCTGATAACATGCATAGGGAGCTTCCAGGAGAAGTGTCCTTTGTCTACCAGACTTATCGGGCTGCATAAACACCCCTGTTCAGGCCACCTGTGGGACTGAGCATGTGTGGAACATACTACGGGAAGACACTGGAATGAGGTCATGCTACTCTTCAGCATGGGTGTGGTCCTGGCTCTGACACAGACTGATGAGTGATGCTGGGGGATTCACTTAGTCTCTCTGTAAACCACTTTTCCTCACATTCTTTGCCGGGGTTTTGAACTGGAAGCTGACCTCTCTGATGCCATCCAACTCTGACATTCTTGGCAAAAAGAAACAACTATGGTGGACGTGGAAGTTCACACCCACCCACTGGCTTCTGAGGCAATACAATCTGAAACAGGATTAATTGACATTTATCTCTGGGTATAAAGAACATCACCAGCTTTCCCCTTCAAACTTCACGATGAGCTTTCTTAAAGCTTCTAAATGTGTTCCACCCTCCTCTCTAAAAGGTCAACCAGCTAGCAATCCTGCATTGGGTTAAGACTGATTCTTTTTTAAGGGCCAATTATGTTTAAAATAAAGTACTTGACACTTAAGCAGTCCATCGATTTTCAATAAAGCTGTCAAGACAATTCAGTGGAAAAGAATAGTCTTTTTCAACAAATGGAATTGGAACGGCTGGATATCCATATGGATAAAAATAAACTTTGATTTCCTACCTCATGCTTTATATGGAAATTAAATTGAGATTGAGATTTGACCTAAATTTAAAATCTAAAACTATGAAGATTCTAGAAGAAAACAAAGGTAGACAAAGACTTCCTAGACAAATACCTAGCACTAAACATCAAAGAAAACATTCATAAATAGCACTTCATCAAAAATAAATGCTCTTCAAGATAGATGAAAAGGCAATTCACACACTTTGAGACCAAGTATTTGTGTCCAGAATATACAAAGAAATGTTACTTGAAGTTGAGCTACCCCAAGCAATATGAGTGGTGATACGCAGCCAGTAAGCAAAAGGAAAATATTTTCTGGACTCATCTGCATAACCTTTTTTTGCACAAAAAGTTCAAATTTCTATTTGGAGATTTTTCAGTGATATCCTAAAGAGGTAATGCAACTGTTTCTAGGAAAGGTATTCAAAAGAGAAAAGAATGTCATTTCTGCCTTTGGTACAAATGTCCAGCTATAAAATAAAAATAAGTCATGGAGATGTAATCTATAGGAAAAAAAAGAGAGAGAGGGAGAGAGAGAATGTCATTTCCAGCCCAGAATGTGAAGACATATATCTCTTACAGATTTGGGTCTAATTATTACTGGGTCATGTGGGTATTTCTTATAGATAGTTTCAATTTATGCAAAAGAAATACATATACAAAAGAAATACACACATATATATGCAGAACTATAAAAATTACAATACTGGCCTATGTCTCTCTCCTTTTTTTAATATCTTCAAAATCAAATTTCGGGACCCAGGGCTGTGAGACAAAATGAAACAGCTCATGTCTGATGGGTCCACACTCTGCTGCTCATGAAAACCTGCAACATCCAACTGGGTTTTTCATTTTTTATATCAGCAGGCCTAATTCTCCATTATCATAGAGGGTATTTTAATTTTATTAAGGAATAAATCCTTTTTCTGGTTAGGAAATTATTAGATATCAAAATATAATGATCTCTTGACGGATTCCAGTAGGTTATGTTTATGGGCACAAGTATTTTCAATTTAAGGGTGATAACATTTTTGTTCCTTGCACGTTACTTTGAAAGTTTGAATTAAAGGATGTAAACTTCCTTAAGACAATATAACCTCGCAGTTGAAACCTATTGAGATAAATGTCATGATTAAATATATTGAGAATAAAAAACTCTTTGAATGTTAATGCATATAAAATATAACGCATAAAACCTCCTAATACATCACCATTTTTTGATTCTGATTAGAGTTCATTGGCATGTCGACTTTTTTCACTTCCTCAGATAAAAAGGCATATATGAGCTACTATTTGTAATAAACATGCTTATAAGCTACTTTCAAGCAAGGGCTTTATGAACAGGTAACTGTTGAATGAATTCATGAAAAATACGTGTTTGAAAATGCACATAATGCATGTGTGAAGTGAGTCTGGCATTAAATATCAAATATATCCACATTTATGCATATTGTTTAAAGGACTAGTGCTCTAATGTTCAACATTAGAAAAATCAAGTGACTCCATTTTAAAGTTAGGGAAAACATATATGATTCCTGATTTATTGTTGGTTTAAATCTAATATTTATCTTTTATTTTAAAAATTCTTAGAACCTTAAATGCATATTATTAAGTAAAAGAAGCCAATCTGAAAAGGCTACATACTGTGTGATTCCAACTATATGACATTCTAGAAAAACGCAAAACTATGGAGACAGTAAGAATATCAGTGATTGCCAGGGATTGAGGGGGAGGGTAGGGATGAATAGACAGAGCACAGAGGATTTTTAGGGCAGTGAAATTATTCTGTATGGTACTATAATGTTGGATACATGTCACTATACATTTGTCAAAACCTACAGAATGTACAACACCAAGAGTGAACCCTAATGTAAACTACAGCCTTTAGTTAATAATAATGTAACAATATTGGCTCATCGATTGTAACAAATGCACCAGACTAATGCAAGATGTTAACAATAAGGGAAACTAGGACAGAGGACGTATAGGGAAACTTTCTGTGCTTTCACTCAAGTTTTCTATAAACCTAAAACTTTAAAAAAAAAAATAAAGTCTATTAAATAAATTAAAAAAAAAATCCTCACCCTTTATGTCCTCCATGCTCAGCAGCCCGTGCCCCTGGGTCTTCAGCGGGCTGCAATGAACTAACACCCAGAAGTGCTGTTAGTTTATTCCCACTCTCACAAGTGACACTTGGGTCATCGTGCCTTCTAGCACCCCACGGCTTTTCGAAGTGTGCTTATGTCACTTGACCAGAACTTTAAAGTTAGGTTCAAGTAGCAACATGAAGAAGTGAGCCAAAATTATTGGGTTACCAGAATCTTATAAGCCGATTCATCTTCCTAATAATTGGATTTTACCCATTAGAAGCTGAAAACCCTTCCCAGGATCCTCCTTGCCTAACACATAAGGTCCAAACACTTTGTGGCGTGAAAATTGGCTGCACCCTTCTCTTCTGTTCTCACCTTAGTGAGTACCCTGTTCTCAAAGACGGTCTTCCTCACCGGCTCTGACGCATCCTTGTACGTTCGCACATCTGTGTTTTCATCCACCATGGCCCCTGGAGCATGTTATATGTCCTCACTGCCTGTCTGGTTCTCACATCTTATGAGACCCCGCTCAGAGGCTTCTTTAAGGAGCCTTCTACGTCCACCCAACGTGACTGCTTCTGACCCCACCCTGTTACTGCCACACAACTCTGCACTTCATTCCGTGTTTAAACACACCTCCTATTACAGAGCCTCTTTCTTTATTGGACTTTGGCTTATACCCTACAGAATTGTTTAGTGTTCCCTGTGCCCATGTGTTGTACCACAAAAAAGACGGTAAGTTCCTCAGTCTGGGACTTTTTCTGAGGCTGTTACTAAGAATTCTTGGACTCCACCTTTGTATAGGATTTGCCAGAGTAATATTGGTGATTTTTACTGTATTGAAATAAAATCTACTGAAACTTTCTACAGGATATATATTTGATTGAAAATGGATAAAATACTTTACAATTCTTATTTTGAGGTAATACATATAGTCTGCAAAAATTAGGTTTATTGGCATCATTAGCCATTTATTGCAATTATTTTTATGAAATGAATAAGCATGGTGTATATTCGGTTTGAATTACTGGGTTTTCCTTTAAAAATTTTGAAAGCACTCCACTTTTAGTTTTTCTGCTGGTTACCTCCATACACTTAAGTACACTTAAATTGCTTTTACTTGTTATGAGTTTAAAAACAATAGCTATAGAAAGCGTGAAATTAAAAATGAGAAAAATTAGCATTCTCTACCTCTTACTTTCACTTTCCACTGCATTTGCTGGCATGGTTTTTAAGTAGTTACATTATCTATATATTGTCATGGTGGATGGCATTTATTTTCTTCTCTGTAACCATAATTCCCACACGTTTACCCACAGTTGTACACTTGAATGCATCCTTTGAGTTTGCAATGAATCTTTCAGACACAGCTTCTCTTGGTCAGTGAGAATTTAGCCTCAGTTTGTTTGTTTTCTTCACGAAAATACATTCCCTGAACTGGTGTATCTATGGACATATCTATTTGTATCCTTTAAAATTTATGGATAGTTTTGGTTGCATTCTTGGGACACAATTTCTTTCCTTGGGGACTTTTTATAGATTGCTCTACTGTCTTCTAGCATTTCATGTCTGACGTAGAGAAATCTTAGCTTCCTAGATTTTTTTCTGAATATCCATGGGGGTCTTTCCATAACTTAAAATACCAGTAATTTACTAGGATATTTCTTTACTACCCAATCTATATAAACACAGCCTTGGGTTTCAGTGTTGTGTTTCTGTCAGCAGATTCAAATTTCCCAGTATTTCAGGAATTTTACCTTGAATTCTGTCTTCGAATATGTTTTTTCTGTTCCATTCATTTTTAACTTCAGCAGGGCACCAGTTATGCAAGTGCTCTATCACTTCTCTCTGTCCCTCTGTCTCTCTGTCTCTCTGTCTCTCTCTCTCTCATACTTTTCATCCTCATTTATTTCTGAGGCTCTGCTGAGTCACTTATCATTCTCATCTAATGTATTATCAGTTCCCCCTTAAAGCCTTATATCTCTTCTTTAAATTCTCCTTAAAGCCTTATATCTCTTCTTTAAATTCTCGTTGCAGAGAAACAATATTCTCTCTAATTGCTTTGATTTCTTGGACCTCTCTTTGTTCAGGTTTTTGGCTGCTCTGTGGTATAATCTTTCCGGTAGCGTCTTCATTGATCACGTTCTGTTCTTTTTTTTTTTCCCTTGCAGCATCTTTTTAAAGGTCCCTGGCTGGCTACCACTCTTTTAAGTGGTATTGTTTCTCATATTTGAAAGAGGAGGTGTCTATGGGGACCAGGTACTTGAGCAAAATCTGGGGGAATGGACGGAAGAATGAGCTAAAGTGGTGGGCAGCTTGAGTTTCAGGCTGTTATCTCGCAGGGTTTCTTAACTGTGCCAGGACTGGGGGCAAGGCTTCTCCAGGCTAACAGCAAATGGTCTGGGCTCACACTGAATGTTTCAATGTGCTTTTTTTACCTTGACTTTATCTTCACCAGGTGAAGATCAGTAGTTGCGTGGCTATGCGACCCCTCTTGATTTCTCCTCCACTTTGCCAAACCAACAATCTGCTTTGGGCAAAGATGGCCTGTTGGCTTTTTTCTTGACTCTTCCCCCCATCCTGTGCCATGACGAAGCATGAGGTAAGGAGGCTTCCAAGACCAGCCCATAGGTCTGGACCTTTCTCTCCCAAGCAAAGAGTCACTGATTTTCCTTGGAATGGATGCCGCCCACTTTGGACAGCTCTAAGCTTGGCCATCTCTGCCAGAGTCACACAGAAAAAAATGCCTTCTCCTCATGTCCCCCATCACCTTCATCTGATTTCTCACGCATCTTGGCCATCTTTCTGCATGTATTGTGACCCAGGGTCCTAGGGGATCCCTAGTTTCATCAAAGATAACATTTGTTTCTTTCTTTTTTTTTTTTGGTGAGGGAGATTGGCCCTGAGCTAACATCTGTTGCCAATTTTCCTCTATTTTTGCTTGAGGAAGAGTGGCCCTGAGTTAACATCTGTGTCCATCTTCCTCTATTTTGTATGTGGGTCGCAGCCACAGCATGGCTTGATCAGGAGTATAGGTCCGCACCCGGGATCCGAACCTGCAAACGCTGGACGCTGAAGCAGAGTGCACTGGACTTAACCACTACACCATGGGGCCAGGCCCCATTTCTTTGTTTCTTATTCTCTTTTTTGGGTTGGTTCCATAGAGGAAATGGGACAGACATATGTTTACACAACCATTTGAAATTGAAAGGGCAATTCCTTCCTTCAAATCCACCTTTTTTTCTTCTCAATAAATTCAATACCAGACAGAGAGAGAGGACTTGAAGAGTATGTCTAACGTACTCATATTCAAAAAGTCACAGGTATAGGGCACAGAACATTCTGTGAGGATATGATTCACTTTTTAAGGCTATGTGTACACAGTCTGTGAAAAATACTATTAACGAAGATGAAGAGCTACAGGAACAAACCTGATGGAGAATTTTAATTTTATCAGAGCAATGGTATATAGCCATAGTAATTTTTTTCTTTAATTCAAAACAATTAGATTGCATATATAGATAGCCACATTCAATGTTCTCTAAGCTATTTTGATTGAAACGTACCGAAGGAGATATTTTTTTCCCTCTTTTTACTTTAAGTTCTATTTTCTCCTTTTCCTTCTGATTTTGTCTGAGTGCCTTTTCCCTGTTTGAGCTCGACGTGCTGGTGTGCAAAGAGTCTGTTGGCCCAGATGAGCACAATAGATATTTACACGAAACAGCAGGGAAGGATCCATCTGGGGTGCGTGACTTATGTTGGCAATACATAAAAGAAGGATTCCAATTTGCTGTATAAATCACCCTCAGAGGCCCCAAGAGTGAACACGTAGGGGCTTCTTTTTATTTTCACAGTGTTTAAGATCACCTTTTAAACACAGTTAAAATTAGGTTAGGTATGTGCATTTTTGAGAGGAGATTAAAGAAACATGTTAGTTTTGATATCTCTTGCTTGTAACAGTTGACTTATTTCAACAAAATAGAAGGTTTTAAAGGAGAGAAGGTTCTTCTCATGACTACTGTTCAATGGGTAGGGAAAATATTCAAAATTGAAAAATAAACCAATATAATTCTTAAAATTATTCCATTATGGTTGAGTGGAAATTAATACATCTTATTTAGTAATTTCATGTTACGATGGATTTATAATGAACTAAAAATAAGGCAACGTTAGGGAAAAAGTCATACACTTAAAGGAGAAAAAAATCCTATGTTTAACTCAGAGCTCTATATCCCATTGGGATGAATGTGGTTCTTTGCTCTGATTTTTCCTTCTTTTCTAATGCAGGAAGGTTTTCTTTTCAATATTTCACAATAGATATATTTTTAAGGATGGTCGATTTGAGTCAGCCCTCACCAAGGCTTATTTGAGAATTAATCTGGTCTTTATAGGTTTATTTTGGAACAGGACTTTCTTGAAATAATGCCTAACAATCAGTGGTCAGAGCAAACACTTTATCTCCATGGGTGCTGCTGTGGCTAAGTATATACTTTGGGGGTATAATACTGGCATTCATCCTGAAAAATTCTGAGTCTAGTAAGTGGAAAAAATGGCACAGAATGATGTTTCTTTTCTACATTTTCTCCAAGCCACTCTCTGGTTTGGGCTATGATTAGGAAGACAAGCCATTCCAATCCTAAAGAGTATATATAGATCTCTTTCTGTGAGCTCGCCCCCTCTGAACATCATAGGTAAGGAGAGGAGGTGAGACACAGCATAGAACATCA